TGACATTACTTTTTAATGACACAAACATTACTCTCTTCTGACATCTTCCTCTCCACAACAGATGGGAAAGATGACACATTCAATAATGTGACACTTTATTGATCCCAGCAGGAGTGCAGTGTCTTGCTTCAGGACACTTCAGCTGAGTGGAAGACTGCCAAGCTGGGGGCTTGAACCCCAGATTTTCCTGCTCAATGACAGTCTCTCCAGTGCCATTTACATAAACGAGGGAACGGGATATTAGAGAGATATCTTTATATGCAACTGAAACAGCACAAACACCAACTATGGCCAAATCACTGCAGAATACAACTCTACATCATGTCAGCAAACACTCGACATAACAATGCTTCACCAAGCCTGCCTGCCTGCTGTAGCAAGAGGGATTGCCTTAAATATACAGGTGTATACAGGTGTGCCTCATTATCAGGTAACTCAGTGCAGAATCATTCCCATGGGTTGTGATTGGTTAAATGTATTAGCGCTAAGTCAATTAAATGATTATTTAAAAAATAATCAATAAACAATTTTAGTGATCAATAGGCTCAATGTTTCACAGTCCTAGGTCCCCGATTGTGAGGACTTGCAGCTTGTCTCTGTTTTTCTTTACTGTAATGTATTTGAGTTTTGTTGGTTGAACAACAAAGGGAATTTGAAGATGTCCACATGGTCTTGGGAAATTATGACACTGTACAGACTAAAGGACCCATTGATTACTCATTAAGTGTTTTCTTTAAATCATTAGTTATCATTAGCAGCTCTCAAATGTTCTGATAAAAATCAAACTAGTTCTCTTCACACTGTATCCCGCAAATTAAATCACTTGAAATAAGTTCATAAATATTCTCTTCTTGTCACAAGTTGACACACATCTGACAAATGAACATGATGAGGGCTACATCAGGCTGAAAGGGTAATATTTCATATTTCCTCAATAACTGTGCCATATCTAATTTGCTGGTTTATCCAGGCACAGTTATAGATAAAAAAGGCCTTCTTGCAGCAAAGCATATGAGATTTGCATCTGTTTGGGGCGAAACTTTCATTAAAACTGCTAAAAACTATGAAACAATCAATGAAAATGTAAGATTTAAATGCATTGCAGATTTAAATGTCCAAGCAATTTAATTATCCAACCCAGAATAAGCCAGAGGACTGATCACTTCATTGGTCTGGAGTGAGTTGCACATCCCAATATTCTTGGCTCTAATGAGCACCCCAGGGCTGAAATAAAGAGCACTGTGACTCCGATAGTGCTTCTCAACAACCTAAGTCCTATTCAAACAGAATCATTACACACAGAAATGGATTCAATTGCTTTAGCGCTTTGCCAACACTTCAACTAGAGCGGAAATCTCAAAAACAGGCCTATGGTTAGTGAATTATATTCACCTCATATCATCGTCACATATTTACTATGTAAACTACAAACAATGAGCACATAATGAGCAGGGCCTGCACTGAATGTGCCTGCTCTATAGCTCGTGTCATCTTTCACCAGAGTTAATCCAGTCAGAAGTCGAACTGACAACTGACCTGTCTGATCTTCCTCTATTGAAATAGGCTAGTGTAACCACGTGAGAGTTAAATGAACATTTACATGCATGGGCTGTAGAATCAGACAGTCCATGTGTCTCTTTATAGCAATGCTACATAGACATGTGCAGCTCTCGCTGTTGCCATGCAACTATAAGCCCTGATGAATCAGGGGTCCGACTTGCTAAAAGTTCAAAAATGTTTGACTTTTTGTTCTTTGGCTCGCAGTTCTGAAACCTTGCTAAGCTCTCAGTGAAGCCAGCAACACTTAGCACATATTTTCGGTGAATTTAATGAGAAAAAGGCAGCAGGGAAAGTAGAGGCTCCCAGTGGACAATGAGCCTATCTTAATGTTTCTGTCTGTGTACAGTACATTACATACAGTACCTTAAACACAATGTGTTTTATGCTATCGCAGAGAAAACAGCTCATCAAGATGAGATTGTCAATATAAAGTCATACAAAAAAAATAACTTACTCTAAATTACATTACTGACCGTCTTTCAGTAGAAATCACCCTGAACATGCTCTCTTTACAATCCCAGTTTAGAGAAGATGATTACTGGACAGCAACAGCTCTCAATCCCACCCAGCTAGGCTGCTCCTCTCCGACACAAGCCGATCAGGGACAATAATAGACGACTTCTCTGAGTAACAATAGAAGTCTGAAGGAGGGACGGACTGGATAATAGGGTTTATGTACAAGTTTGAAAGGAGCTGAGGTCAAAGGTCAGCAAGAGATTCACGAGCATACAAGAGCACCAAGATCATCCAATAATATGGAGACAATCACCATGGCAATGCTTACGTTATATGGCAGGAAGAAATGGATAAACAAATTACAATAAACTTATTAGGGATTAGTTCCCACACTTAATTATAGTATTTTTCAATAAGCGTGATCTGATCAGGGACTGTTGGAGAAATGCTCGTCTCAGTACCATTTTTCATGTCGGTTCTGAACTACTAGCAGACAAGTCTCAGATTTAGTCAGAATAAGTCAGTTGAAAAAAAAAAAACCCAGCAACTTTCATTTAAAGGTGGGAAAAACATGAAAAAAACAAAGTAAGGAAAGCCTGGAGGAGGTCTTTGTGGACACTGTATTGCCAATCCAAATTTAACCAAATGAATGGCCAAATTATCATCCTGCCTCCAATCCATTTTGTGTGGAAACAAATCTGTCTTTCCCCTTATGTGCCAAAATGGCCTTGCGTCTGTTACAAATATACTTAGGCTAAAAAGTAGGAGCAGGAATAGCCTCTAACCAGAAAGGATAACATGGAATAAGGTTTTAATGATGGTTTCCTGTGGCTGTAATGCATTTCCATTTCCAGATTTTAATTAATTAACGTTCTCAGGTTGCAGCTGTCTGCCATGTTGTCCACTACCTACAGTAGTGCTGACAGTAAAACATGAGGTTAAAAACGAAGTGGGAGATGGCAGAGTGCTGCAGTCAATGTCTGCTGGCATTATTTATATCCATAGCCTCAGGGCCATCCCATTCCCAACTCCACTTGTCTCCATTGATCTGCCTCTGCCTCCCTTCCCCTCCCACCTCGGGGGCTGAGGAAAAATGATCCTCCCCTTCTTCCTGCAACACATCCCGAGACACCAGGACTCAACCCGCCTGATCCATCAACTGCAGTTTCACAAAAGAACTGGCAGGATAAGAGGGATTTTCTGGTCTTTTCTGTGACATAAATGTGGCATCTCGCTTCTTTACTGAAGCTTAAGATATGCTCCAGACAATTGTTCGCTTCTGTATTACTCTTCTACTGACCTGCCTGGACTGTGTGACCATGCCCAGAACAACTGCTCAGCACACTCAAGAAGTATTTGAAAATACTGTACTTCTCAGTATTTGCTTATGGCTGCCGGGAGAACCAAACTGGTGGAGAGTACTATATAATGAATCTATAATTAAGGATAGGTATTCAGAACCAGTACTATACTTGGTATTTTTGCAAAAAAAGTTAAAAAATAACTCAACATCTTGTCTTTATGTTTGCACCACATTATAGTGAGTAGTATCAATAAGAGTAGTGATGAGCAGTATCAGTATTTATAACAGTAGACATTATGTGGATGCTGACATCTATTGCACAGCTTATACAGCAAACTCTGCTCATCTGACAGCTAAGGTGGATAAATACTCTTTAACCCAGACTGGAGGTAAAGCAAATTAAAACGAGGAACCACACTAGCCTGGGGATTCAGAGCAATATTTCTACTTCCCTGTATTTACTACCCTAGTTGATTTGTCAGATTATTAAACCATACCAACGTGTGCATGGTTTGAACTGCTTCCGCACCAAATCTCACCAGTGGCTCCTTGTATCGGTTAATGGGACTCCAAGGTAGTGGTCCTGGACCAACCATCAATTAGTAACCAAGGCAACAGGAAGTCTCAGGATAAAGGACGGGGCCTGAGGGTCTGAAGAGAGCATGCCTCTTTCCCCGAGAACAAACTTAATGGACCCTCAGACCTCCAGTGAGTGGAGCTTGCAGGGGGGAGGGGGCCCGACTAGTAGCCCAGGACTGTGATAGGCCCCCGTCTGCCTTCCTGCCTCACTTCCAGTAGGAGTTGAGGAGCTATCTCTGAGCACACAGAAGTAACACGCATTCTGGGGCAATTTTACAATTTCCACTGCACCTTCAACCTTTACATTTCACGGTTTAAACGTTCCTCTCCTGGTTTATATGAGAATAAAACCACCTCATTGTTACATCAAAAAAAGCTAGGCCTCCATCTGACACCTTCAGAGTGTTTAACCAGCTTGCCAGTCTGCCTGGAACTGTATACAGGTATGGCTACTGTAAAACAGCGGGATTAGGAGAGGGAAAATCCTGTCTGCAGGCACTCTAAATGTGCAGCCAGGTGACTCTTCCACATGTCCTGTGTTTTAAACTCCCAGTCTGTCAGCTAAGAATGGGGATTCAATTTCTTCACCAACAAGCATTAGTGTAGATTTTGTATCATGTTTAAACACGGTAGAGGAAAACCAAGACCTGCACCACTCCACCTTTACAACCTGTAATCAAAGAAGATAATGTGTGACACTACTCAGTAATGTAAATTCAGTCCTGCATGGAGGTCATGATGTCAGGTACAGTCTGCGACTCTTCATTTATTTGTAAATGACTCGCTTAATTACTGCTTGCTTTTGAACGCCATGAAAAGTCAAATGGAGGAGCGTCCTCACCTCACCCACCCAGTGAACTTTCCCCTTGAAACCCCCTATGGGCCTGCACATATGAACAGTACCCAGCCACATTAAACACGTCTCTGGATAGATGCACTGTGTGTGTGTGTGTGTGTGTGTGTGTGTGTGTGTGTGTGTGTGTGTGTGTGTGTGTGTGTGTGTGTGTGTGTGTGTGGCAAAGGGAGAGGATGCTGGAAAGCAGCCACAATAGTCAAAGACAAGCACACAGGGGGAGAGAAGGTGGTTAAAGACGGTACTTACTTGCCAATCACCTCGCACAGCTCGTAGACATCCTCGAACAGCACGTCGTCGTCCGCCATGGTCATGCAGGTAAACGAGGATGCTCTCCTCAAGATATCCCACCCACACGGGTTTTGGAGAAATCAATGATAACGTATTTTCTTGCTGAATGTGGTTACTATTGTGCCAGACAGCACACTCCTGGTAATTTAACCCCCCCCGAATGTCAGTGACGGGAAAAACCAGTGGCCACTCGAGAGTCCAAGTTAGCCGGCTAGCCACATTAGCTGGCGTCCAAAGGCTGTCACTCCGCGGCCCCACCTTCACTGGAGCTACTCTCCCCGGTAGGCTGGGCTAGCCAGCGAGCTAGCTAAACAGTAACCACAGACCAGACCCCAGGGCGTGGAGACTTCCTCGCTCGTTTGCAGAAAAACACCCCTCTGTGCATGCCTCGGGTTTGAATCTTACTGTGGGGTACTGCCAGATACAGGACTCCCTCGACAGCATCCACGGAGACTTCCCGCACCGACCAAGATGCTCCCTTCACCGCAAGCTAACGGGGCTCTGGAAAATGGTTGGCTAGCTGGGTTAATACGAGCTAGCTGTCGACGGAATAACCGGTTGGCTCTCGCCGTTATTGCGCCGTGCACACCCAGTGTATCACAGATGGCTTTATCCCACCGAACACGTAATGTGACCGGGCTGCAATATGCTTCAGCTTCCCGAGCCCAGACGGAAGACCTTCACGTGCATGTCGACGACTTAACTCTGTGGCTTACACCGTCTGCGCTCGTGAATATCGGGATTAAAACCGTACTCCACCACAGCCGACCCTTCGTCCACCGTCGCTCCAGTTCCTACGCTGGCTCAGATGCTGGCTGGCTTTGACTGGCTGTTCCTCCGACTTCCAGAAATGCCAGGCTCCTCCCTCTGTGGTCCAGGAAACTGGTCCGACCAGAGCCGAAATGGCCCGGGAAAAGCGGGCCAAGATTCGTGTGTTAGAGGCGCGGTAGAGCCAAGATGGCGTGCGGTGGGGGTCCGATTTAGGTGCAGTTTCCTAATCTCCTCTAACGGTTGCATCCAGGCAGTGTATCCCGCGCAAGCGTCGACCATCAAAACCCCATCACCTTACGTCAGCCTTTCCCCTTCTTATCTCCATCCTTTTAACATGCAGTTTATCCCCCAGTAAATTGTCTCCTCTGACAGTAATAACGTATTTCCCACACATTGAGTGTCAGCCGCGCGATTAAACTGATGTATTCCCTCATATAGAATATAAAAAGGGAAGATTACAATTTCCAGTGATTCCCAAATTCCCATGGGTCCTTAGGGAGGTTCCTCAGCAGAATGAGGGGACTGTATACATTTGACGCTGACAGTAGGAGAGGTGATTATGGTGTTATAATCCTCAGATACCCGCTGGAATTTGTATGATTATCTCAAGTCTTTACTCTTATGGGTTAATGGGTAACATTTTGGCAAAAAAAAAAAAAAAAGAAAAAGCTCTGGAGAGACGATTAGTGTGTAATAATGTCAGGATTAAGTCGATTTACTTTCACGTAATCTTCCTGCAGGTGCATCAGTTCCTCTGGTGCAGGTGGCAGGTGCAGGGGACGCAGGTGGAATTTTTCTCAGGTGTGGTAAGACAAGCCCTGAGAATGAGATGTGTCGGTGACGCCCCCTGGAGGTGATGAAAGGAAGCATATACCTCCCTCTGCTCCATTTTGGGAGATCCTCTAATGAAGTACAGTACATTTTAAGACATAATCAGGAGAACTGAAAGAAGACACTTTATAATGGAGCGATGGTCAAACTTAATCCACTTTTACCCTCTTTGCCGTTTATTATACATGTAATTAACTACATCTGGATATATATGTTTAAGTTCTTGACAGCAGAATTCACAAAATGTACATTTACCATTCAATATTATTTCATAAAGTGGCCAAAAACTGCCTGTTTGTTGGAGGCATTCCACTTTTCCAATACCACTATGTCACTATGTGGCTGAAGTGGTTAAATGTAAAGTTTTACGGCGATAATTTAATAAAAACTCTTACCTATTGAGTATCCCAGGTTAAAACAAACTACCAAAGTGAAATAGTATTGAATGTCGAGGGAAAGTCAGCCAGACCTTAGTGGCCATCAAAAAAAAAAAAGAAAACATTAAAAAAAAGTGTGAGCTGGGAGACAAAGTATGAAGTACCACAAGGCAGTAGAAGTTCTTTCAAGCAGAAAGGGGAACTCATCCATGCAGACAGGGATAAACAAACACATCTGGCGCCACTAGAGTGCGCTGTTCTCTTATGGCACCTTCTGCAGTTTCCATGGCGCTGCATCCCTTCTGCTCACACATCATCTGCGAGCTTCTCCCATTGGTCGGAGCCCAGCAGCAGCTACCGATGATCCCATTGGCTGTTGATGTGGTCATCATACTGTATGTGAGGCAGTGTATGTGCTATTGAGCAGTCCTCCATTCAGTACACAGGTACTGACAAAACATACCTGTGCATAATATGCACGGGCACATGCACACAGGCCCACACAGATGTAAAGGTAAGGGCAAGTGAAAGGCTAGAAATGGTAAATATGGAGAAAAGGTATGCAGCAAAAAAAAAAAAAAAAGGAGAGAAAGAAAAGACAAATGGGAATCACTGCACATGAGGAGAAAAAAAGGAAAGGGCACAGTTTCCATGGTAACAGGGAGGGGAACGGTTTTGGTGGTTGCTTGTGAAACTGGCAGCTAGTGAGACGTGCACACACACCAATACAAATACACACGCTTCTTTTTGTCACTCAGGAGGATGTTGCATTGACTTTCCATTCATTCTCCGGTGGCTTACCCTAACCTTAACCTTAACCACTAGAACACCTAACCACACTTGTTATCTGAGCCCTGACAGAAACCTCATCCTTAGCTTAACCCAAAACCAAGTCTTAATCCTAAAGTATAACGTCTGTCTTGTGGGGATCAACTATTTGTCCTGTAAGGTGAGTTCACACGATGTGAGTTATGCAAGTACACGCACGCACACACACACACACACACACACACACACACACACACACACACACACACGTATCTGCACATTTCCTCTTTTCTTCCCCTCTAAAGCTAGTTGGAATCAGTCCCAGCGGTCAGACTATAATCTTTGCTGTTTTGCCATAAAACACTTGTTTGTCTTTTGTGTTTATTAACAATAAATCTTCTGTACAATACTATAAATTCACTCGTTCTCTGCTCTTCGATAATCTGAACTATAGGTGGCAACAGGCAACCTTCCAAGAAGACACAAAAAAAAAGAGAAAAAGGGAGAAATTAGACAATGAATATGTTCAGTTTGTGCAAAATTGCAGCCGCAAAGACGCAGAAAGAAAAACGAGGCTTGGATTGGCAGCTACTCAGGTTGCAATGCGTTTCAAGCTTGACTTTCTCCCTGAAAAAAATCTAAAATAAAAAAAATCTAAATATAAAAATCCAACATCCCAAAATGGTGCGTGGGTCACATGGCGTTTAAATTCCAAACATTCAACAATGTCTTATTTATTTATTTTTTACGGTAATGTAAATATCAATAATGAAATTTTTCTTGATTTGGTTTGGAGTCAAACCTGTGTCACATAAGATACAAGGTAGATGAAATGCAACAGAACAAACAGTATTTGATTTATTAAGGTGTATTGTTGGTTTAATGAACGCTGAATACAATAAAAATAACGATACTTTTATTAAGCAAAAACTTCTATTGCCCTGTTAAACAGTTTAATAGATTGTTTTATTGTTTTATTGTTATTTATTTCTTCCCTTCTCTCTCCTATCGCCGTCTCTTGCCTCTCACTTCCTGTTTGGATCGATGTGATTGGCTGGTTCTTACCGCGCAGACTCCTGGGAAAGCGCGATGTTCAAATTTGTTTCCGGTTTTGTTCTACTTCGGTCGGTACGCCAGACATGGAGCGACATCATACGAGGTATTACGTTGTTTATTTCTTACTAAAAATACTATTTTCTGCAGTGTATTTGCCTTCGCGACAAGAAAAACGGCACAATTTGGTCAAAAGTGTAATACGGCTCCTCTAGCCCCGATATGTGCCGTTCTCGTCCGTAGGAGGAGAATCTCATACCAAACAACATTCAACGATCGACTGTTTTAATGTTGCTTTGCTATTCTTGAAATGAACCAAAGTGATACAATGATTTACAAGATACTTTACGAATCGTTGGCTTCCACTGTTCAATTCGGCAAATATCCTACACATAAGAAAGCACTGTACAACGTATACAGAACACATTTATAATTGTGTTTTTTCTTATGCCCGCAGCGGTGTTCCTCCAAAATAAAATAAAAATAGAAGTGAATGCAAAGTGATCGTTTTTTTAAATTCAGTTCTATTGACAAAGTGTGGCTTTAGCTAATGTTTAGTTTTAAATTTCACATTGTATTATCTTTAAACATGACAGAATTTCACATACAGTACCAGGACAGGGGTTTCTTTATATCTGCTAGCTTTGGTTTGTGTATGCTTGTCGCTGCAGCTATTGTCTTTAAAAAAATACATTGATATATAGCGTTAGTATAGGCAGGGGTGCTTTAAACAAAGTCTTGACCATTTGTACCACAGTTTGGTTGTACAAAGAGCAGTGCAGTGACTGTATTACTGACTGGAACAGCAGCAGAGGAAGCTGATGTGATGATCTGTGTGTTTCCAGTGTCACAAGGACTCCCCTCAACAGTGTTGTAGTTCAGAGGAGGAGTAAAAATAAGAGCTACCGGCAGTCGTACCGCAGCTGCTTAGGTGCCGCTTCACGGCTCGCCTTGACTCCAGGGCTGACAGCACGGAGGCTCAACACCAGCAGAAGAGCTCCAAAGTCACACAATATCACTGTAAGTCAACCCAGGCCATTGTCCTCCATGTTTTTACCTGTTTTTATTCCAATTAACAAATGCAGTAAGAGACACAGAATGGTCATCTTCTCTATTCTCTCCTGTACTTCTCAAAGGAGAAGGTGAATCCGGAGCAGCTGGCCTTGCTGCTGAAGACGGAGTGGCATCTGTCCTACGTTACCCCCCTCTATCAGTTCAGACACACCCAGCTGAAGAGCTACTCCAGGCAGCTGTCTGCCTTTATTGCGGCAGAGAAGCAGCAAGGGATGGCAGTGGAGGTGGAGGGGCCACACAGCAGCTTCAAGGTCTCCTTCTCTGTGGTGCAGGGGATGGTTGAGGCTGATGATGATGCAGAGACTGTCCTCATACAGGTAAACTTAGGATTGTGTAAAGTCAGTTGAACTTTTACACCACCACAGACTAAAATCTAGCAACAAATAGCTAAAATACATTAAAAGAAAAGGGGTATGTCCACTTTCTATATGTATTTTGTATCTATAGTATCAGCGTGAGACTTTCTAATGCTTCCCTTTCCGCCTACAGATCCATTCAAAGCCTTTGTTTGCCAGGCAGGATGAGCCTCAGAGGTCAGTATGGAGCGGCTGGCTCACCTGCATCAACGGCAACCCCGAGTACCTGCGCTCTCTTCCACAGGACTTCACCTGCTTGCCGCTCTTCTGCAGCACTGGGCCCGAGGGTATCACCACCGTGGTCAAATCCTGGTTCCAGCGGACCTTCGACTGCTGCTTCGGCCCCCTGGAAATCAGCCATACGAGCCTCCAGTGGCTGGTGGCCTTATGGACTAACTGCCACACCGAGTCCAGCATCCAGCACCTCAAAATGATTTGGACCCTTCCCGTTGCGCCGCCGCTGCAGGTCACCTACACGGTTAACCCGCAGGACGCCTGGGAGCTGTGGAGCAGTGTGAGAGAGGACCAACAGGGGGAGAATAAAGGAGGAGAGGAGGAAGCGGATGATAGTATTGATATTGAGGAAGTGAAGAGGTTCATCCAAGGGCTAAGGAGTCACTTCTACAGACACTTCAGGCTGGATCTGTCAGCGGGAAGCCTGAACCAGGTGTCCACAGCACTGGGCTCAGCCAAGTACAGCGGCAGAATCAAGGTACCGTCCCACAGAAACAGCTGATCACACGAGTTTGTCACAAGATTCACACAGGAAAATATAACTGCTAATGTTTGCTTTTGTTTCAGATCTCCAACGGCAGATACATGATCACCACCCTGACGCTACTGACAGAATGTGCCCTCCTCAAAATGCCCATCTGAGTGACGGACTAAAGACTTTCTAAAGACCAGGAACTGCAATATCCCAGTAGCAGCCTTCATTTGAAAAAAGACACGCAGCTTTGTGTTGCAGATTGCTTTTTTTAAACTTTTTTTTATAGACCAAGTCAAACATCTCTCCATCAATTCCCTCTAATGTAAATACTATACTGTATATATTCTTGTCCAGCCGTTTATAGGTGTTTTTTTGTCATTTATAGTTATAAATAAAAGTAAAAAAGGAGGCGGTGTTGTGATTCAGTGGAAAATGAACTGCACTTACATAGGGCCTTGTCTTCTTCTGACCACTCAAAGCGCTGCTGCTCATCAGAAACCCTGTTCACACACACACGCTGATGGCACAGCTCTGGGTTCAGCATCTTTCCCAAGGAGGAGAAGCTGGGGATCGAACTGCCAACCTTCTGATTAGTGGATGACTGATAAAGATGCACAATATTATCGTGATAAAATTTCCATTTTTCATGATAATTGTGAATATGACTTGACTTAAAAAAAGATTTCTTTTGAACAAGGGGGGAGCCCACATCTTTCCTAACCCCGTCACCCTGGCTGAAGGCTGGGTTTGCCTGTTCTATCCCCTACAAATAAAGTGAAACCGGATGTGTGGAGTATAGACTCAAATACAGCACAGGGAGATGAGGTTCTGATCTGTGATGCAATGAATATGTTTAACAAAAGGTAAGGTCGAGTGATTCCAGTATGTTTTGGTGCCATTTTAATAGTATGAAATATATTTTCAGGATTATTTTGCATTTATTGTCCCAGATAACCTTTGCACGCATTTAGGGCTCAAATTACTGATTATTTTTATAATCAATTGTTCTGTGAAATAACTGCAAATAAATACAATGTCTTCAAATAGCTGTCTGAAAATCAAATGTTATTCAGTTAATGTTGCTTACTAAAGTAAAGATTTTCTGCAATTCAACACCAGTTAATTAGATGTTGCAGTTATTTATTATATTATATTATTATAATTAATTCAATTACTGTTGAAATGGCCAGATGGTGCAACCCCTCCCTAGCACCAACTGCATAGAGTATAAATACATAACTTGACATACAGAGGTAATCAGCCTGAGGTTTTCCCACTCTCTCCCCAAGAAAAAACACTGTTATTCAAAACAAAATCAGGCAACTTTATTTTAAAACAGACACCCAGCCAAATTCATACAGCTCAGGTAACAAAATAACATTAAATAGAAACAATGATGGAATATGAGAATACAAAATGCCAGTTGTAACAAGCTCTTCAAAGAAAAAAAAAAAAACAAAGTACATCAGAAACATTACAGTATATTGCACTGGAAGAAAAAAGGCAAATCAAAGCAACTTGTGATCAACTTAAGCGGACTCCTGTGTGTGGATGTCCTATCTACATAATTAAAGCGAGAGCAGCGTCGCCGTTGTGTTATTGCTACACTGACACCACTAAATGCACAATGACAATAGCGAGGGCGTAGGAGTCACAATCGCTGCTCCATTATGCTCTTTTAATGACGGGACCGGTGTCTCTTTTGGTGTCTAGCTTGTTGATGGTGGTAATTAGGGTGCAGCAGATGCTCATCCGGTCATTAAAGGACATTGTGGAGCTGAGGATTATGGGAATAAAAGGGATCTGTGTTTAATATTCTTTGTTGTCCATGTGAAGTAGACAAAATGTAGTTGCAATTTATGCTCATGATATGTGTTGTATATTAATAACTCCTGCTCAGAGTGGGAAAGTAACTTTGTTTAACCCCCCAGACAGTGTGACAAACTTTTTTTTTTTTTTTAAAACTGTTTGCTTACATGCTTAGATGGCACATAAACTCGCCAAACTTCACAGCTACATAAAAAAATACCTCCAAGCAGTAGACTGGAGGATGGTGTTAACTTCCCACTCTGCTGCCTTCCAATGTCGTTTATATAATATACAGCTCTGAAAAAGGGGGTTGGCTATATACTCACAGTGGCGCCCACACACGCCGATTCCTAACAATCTGAGATCAGCATCCGCCTGGCCAATACACGAGGGGACGGACATTCTAGACTCAGATCAGTGTTGGGGGGAAAAAGCAATGAGGAATCTGTGCTAGTTTGTGGCAGCTTGACATATTCAGCAGTCTGGCAAAGATCCATTAAGGGTCCCCACAGAAGACAGTCTTCACAGTATAATAATCCAAGCACCCAAATTCCCGACTGAGCCACCACACACACACACGCTTAAGAATGTGCACTCAGTCCTCCTGAAAAGTAATTCATTAGCTAGGATTGATTTAAAACATGAAGGCGTAGTTACAGTTAATACCACTGTCACAACAGATCATGCTTTTAATGTTTTAACATAAACCCCATTCCCCCCCCCCACCCATTCAGTTCGTTAAAAGGTGAATCAACGCACGCATGGGGCTGAGAGGTAAACAAATGGAGAGGAGAGTGACCTATGTAGTGATGTGATTCACAGTAAGGGGAGGCCGCGAGCGTGCGCGGCAGCTTTTAAGAGGCCAGACCCAGAAAGAAGCCGCCGACGAAGCCGCTGGACAAGACGATGTTCCTTTTTATAAAGTCTGTGGCCTGCGTAGGACGGGAGAGAAAAGACGGATGAGATGAGTCGATACGAGGTATAAGGCAGAGAAAAAAGCGAGTGAGAAAAGTCTGGATTGGAAAATGTAAAATTACTCCTGATGAGTAAATTAAGACCATCACTAAAACATTTATATCTACTGAGAATGGATACACCACAAAACATGCACGCTGGCATCAAAATGTATTTCTCTACCATCTCTCTAAAGCCTGCTGTGTCACAGCTAGTGGGTGTAGTATCGCTGACAGTACACTAGAGGGCACTGCTGGTTTGCAGATAAAGAAATAAACCTCCCCACCAAAACCAGGACATCGAGGAAAAAGACATGCATTTAGTCTAATTAATGTCAGAATTATGTTACAGAACGCGTTAAGTACAATTCAGAAATGGTTGATCCAGTTTTACCAAGTTTGTTAATTAGAATAATTATTTTAGGATTAAAAGTAAGCAAGAGCGTGAAAGAAAGAGCAAGCTTGGTTACAGGTACCTTTACCTCCTCAATGAATGTGTTTATTTCAGGGGCTGCTTTGTTTGCTTTCTTCTTCAGGTGCTTCTTCGCTTTGTTTACGTCCTTCTCCACCTTCTTCCAGTCCACCTGCACGTAGCCACTGTGATTGGCAATCTGTGGGGGGGGGGTTAAAAAAAACTCATTCAAAACTGATTCAGCGTAGGTAATCAGGAAACCTTTAATTACGCTTTATTTTGTACTGAATTTCTGCTTCTCGCTTTGCAAGAACAATAGATATTTTTGGAAATAGTCTGTTCTAAACTGACATGCTATGCTGGCACAATGCACTAATCTAATAAGTAACCTTTTGTTCCACTCTACTGGGCTACTGATTCTTTGTCTGGTCTTATCTGATTTTTTCGGGGCTTTATTGCATTACTGTCTGGCGGTTTATGGAGGTGTTGTAGTGAGACGTAATCTGTGTTCTATTGAGACCATCTAGACCTGTCTGCAAAACAAACTCATTGTATGTAATAAAGAAAAAACTCTATCTAAAAATCCAGCTTTTAAAAAGGTTGTGGCCTTCTCTGAGTAATTACTGGTGAATAGCTTTGCAGGTAAAATAAATTTTGAATGATGCACCTGCTTACTTTAAAATATATAACTATGTATTCAGGGAACATTTGGACCAGGAAGATCTTTACCTGACCTTGTTGAAAACAACTCATTCAGAGAGTGAACCAACACAAGTTCTCTGGTACATAAAAGGTATAAAAAAAGGTAATAATTTAAAGCCTGTTTCTTTCTGGGTGCAGAAAAACATCTTTGTTTGACACATGAAATCTTAGTAAAATAAATAAAACGCAGAGAGATGCAAGTGAAAAAGCATTACCAACAAAAAAATATATCTATTTTATGCGTTCTGCTTGTGAATCAACTCAAGGGTCTGGTGTGATCTACTTGTCTAAACTGTTACAAGAATGTTTCTGACAGACTAAATAACACACGGATAGCACTGCAGCACCCAATAAGCATCCAGATGGCCGGCGTCAATCTAGAGCCAGCTGCCACACAATGCTTGTCTTTCTGCAGTAAAGAGGAGACCAGCCGAGCTTCGTGCTGTACAGCCAGCATCTTCAATTGGAGCCACTTTTTTATCACTTAGAGACTATGTAGATGTGGTAAATACCTTTTCCCTGAGGGTACATTAACACAATGTTATGGTACTCTTGCCTGTAAAAGAAGGAACCCTCCTCCAACAGCCGTAGCCGCTATCTTCCCAACTCTCTGGAAGAGGTATCCAGCACACCTGGATGTGTTGAGAGGAGTGTTCATCACACACTTGCTTCCAGTCATGTTTTTGCTTTGCAGATCTTTTGGAATATTCTTTAGAAAATCTGTTGTTACAGACAGATCCTTACCATCCAGTCACCCCTCCCATCATGAGCTGGGTGGTCACGGAATACTTCTCAGCAATCGGGCCGGAGTTGTTCCCGAACACCCTGCTCCACCACTGGTGCCTGCGGGCATATTCTGTCAGGTCCACGACCTCGTAAACCTCATCCTCGCTCTCTGGGTCGTCCTGACCTGCTGTGACACAAGCATAAAAAGAGAAAGTTAAAACACTGCGCCACCGGCCTTCCAGAAAAACGGAGAATGAAGGGATGTACATGCGCAGTTAATGACACTATACCTCAGTTGACCTCTTGTCTCCATCCCAAACTCTGACGAGCACATACAAGCACTTACATTATGGACATGTTTCAAATGACCCCGTTACTGACAGAGCCATATATGTGGCTCTGTAAACCCAAAACGTAACAGTGTCTATTACGCTGACTTTAAGGGCAGTTCCGCTACCACAGGCTCTAAGGGCTGCTTGTTTATTGACTTGGGAAGCTAATATTAGCTGGCTAGCGCCAAATGGATACCGGTTCAATACAGTGTTACACCCTATAAGTTTCCTCTCCGGACTCTTATTAACACCGAGGTCAAGACCGCGTCCCAGTTTGATTATCGTCGGAGGGAAAAAAGTTATAAATTCCGATATTAATTCGGGTAATAAAGCCGTATTTCTGACAAACAAAATCACTAACCTTCCCTGTGGTCCGCGGTCGCCATTTTGGAGAAACTGGTTATGTCACCAGGATGTTGACAATACTAAGCCACGCCCACACGATGATGCTTTGCCACGTCAGTTGATCTCTCTTGATTAGGCTCAGCAATTTAGCAACGTTTTTACTAAAAGGCTGCAACTTTCTCTTCGTATTAAGGAAGATATCTCTGAATTAGTACGGGACTTTGGAAAGTGGAGACAGAGGTTATATTATGTTAAAGGCTCGGAACTAATGATGCATTGCAGTCCTCGTTTAACCAGTCTGTAAAAGCGACAACTGAGTGTCAATACACATAATACCAGATTATATCCTACTGTGTGGAAATTAATACATTGTCCGGGAGAAACAAAGCTCCTTCACTTGAATGTGCGTGGGCGTCAGACACCTTCAGAGAATAAATATTTCAGAATGTGCTTCCAGAATAATCGTGGTATGAAATATGAGTGTTTTTGCAGGGAGAATATGAACATTTGAGATAAAAGAATGATAGAGCAGGGAAGTCATATGGTGCGATGCGGGCGCTCCCATTGGTTGGAGAGCGGGGAGAGGGCGTGGCTACAGCGGCGCGTGGGTTCGCTTGGGTGACACAATTATAACAACTTTATCTTCGCGTCCGAAACGCGTTTTTATTGTCAAATACTCACATCTTGGATATTATATTCAGTTATTCGCATTCAAACAGCGGCACAATATCACTTTGTGATGAAAAATGTGACGTTTGAGGAGCTACCCGGAGAGCGCGTCTGTCCCCCAGAAAGGATTTACTATATCGAATCGCATCTTTTCATCCTGGAAAAAAAGTTTTTGATCATTTTGTTTTCTTCAGTTTTTCTTTTTTGATTCGGCGGAGCAAACCGTTTGTCCCCGCGTCGCGATTTTCCATGCAATCGTGCGGTGTGTCTGTCGCCGCTGCTGCCTGCGCTGCTGCTCGGAGTCTCGGCTCGGCTTCTTCTGGTGGTGATGAGGGAAAGAAAATGGCGGCGGGAAAAGCTACTGAAACAGATGAGGACTTTCCGACACTGACAGCCCAGGAGAGGGACAGTTTGGTCGGGATCGACAGGTCGGAATAGCAGCCCCGTGCACTCACACAGACGCACACTTTGAAATTTAATTGTTTTCTTTGTTTTCGTGTCGAAAATGTTCCCCAGCCGCTCTGCAACTGATTGTGAGCCGCCTATGTTGTCTTCTTGCTTGCAGCTCACTGTTTGGATTTCAGAAGCTTCATGAAGATGGCGCCAGAACGAAGGCCCTGTTGATGAAGGTAGCAAATCTTAACTGGATGTATTTTTACAACCAAGCAGCTCTCTGATCCACAGGACTTACTCCAACCCCTTCACTGCCGTGCACGGCGGTGAATTGGCTCTCGAAGTAGCGACCCGGTGAGAACCGCGAGTGGCCCACTCGCTGAGGAGACCAAGGCCAGCTAGCCGCAGCCCCTCTTTTTAGCCTGTCAGCTAGCCTGCTAGTTAGCAACTCTCCTCCGATGAACAGCGACCCTGCACCTGCGGCTACGCGGTGTCGCTAGCCTCGGTGATTGTTAGCCGACTAGCCTCGGCTCTGTTGGTTTAACTAGCTAGCGTTAATGTTTGTGAGGCAACCGCCCTTTCCCTGTTAGCTGGACAGCTAACGTTATTCCGTACAGCGTCCTCCTTGTGTAACTTGGCACTTGTACCACAAACAACACAACGTCGTCACGGTTTTGTGTAGCACATTGGTTTTTTCTTTTTTTGGAAACGTTGCACTTTATTGGGGAAAGTTTATGTCGCTGTGAGGTTGTTATATTGCGAGGGTTAGGGTCTAACATCCGACCTTAAACACACAAGTATCGGTATCTGGCGGTGATAACGTTGGTGGAAGTAACGTTGACGCTGGAGCCTTCAGGGTGCACCAAATACAGAAATACAGCTCACCCGTTATCTAGCCAGGTTGGCCAGTGCCCGTAGCATTTGCATTGATCTAGTGTCTCGACCACACTCTGTTATGTTGTTATTGGGACATTGCATTGCTCCACGGAGCGCAATTCAGGACGTTTTCTGGTCGTTTATTCGTTGTGAGCGACTTGACAAACGTTACAAGTAACGTTAATGGCTGGCTGCCTGTCCAAGATGGCGGGACATGGCGGAGTGACACCGATAGCTATATAACCAATTTGATATGAATATATAGCTCCGATTCGTTTGGGTGCTGCTAAAGTGCGCCTTAAGTTCCCTCTCGGGTCCTGGCTCTTTGTGAAGATGTGTTCCTCCTGCCGACCTAGGTGGTGTCAGGGTCCTTTGTTTACAGTTTTCATTGCCCCTGTTTGGCTCTGCATGTGCTCTCGGACAAGAAAGCTGCGTGTTAAAACAGGCACAGTCTACCTGGGCATGACACACTGCTGGGCTAGCGAAACCCCTCTATTGTGCCTTTATCTTGGACCGTGGATGGTGTGGAGAAATTGGTGCTGTTGACAGCTCATGGTTTGAAGGGCCATCCACGAATCCGCTCGCTAGGTGGTGTGGGATACCTAGGAAGTGTATCTAGCATTAGCTGCACAGGAGCAGCAGAAAAGCATTGGTGTGCTGTACTTGATAGAGAATAGGGACAGTGTGCTATTGCAATCAGTGTATTAGGCTTGAATTAAACCGTTGCAGCTCCTATGTTCAACGCAGAGCCAGGGCATTAACATGTGTTAGTCTTTACTGATGCAATGTTTTAACAGGATTTGTTGTTTTCTATATGCTTTATTTTGGTAATATGCTCACCTGCACTCTTGAAACATCCCGTTCCGTCATATGAAACGAGGTCTGTTTTGTCACGTACCCTGTGGATATTGGTTTGGTGTCAGTTGTGCATATAATAGGACATGTTAAACATATTTTGCATGTCACTCTTAGTGTACACAGGTATCTTGGTGCCTTTCATTATGGATTTGTCGCTGATGATTGTGGCGGTAACGTCTGACATTGATCTTGCTGCATGGTCGGCGTCGGCTGCCAGACTTTTCTCGTTGCAGCCCTGCTCTTGTACGCCCGGCCTGTATAAAAACACCTACAGGTGCTATGGGCTCTTGCCTCGTAACCGTCTTCAAAACCTTGATGGGAGTACACAAAGCATGTGTCTGTCTTTCTCCATCATCATTATATCAGTCAAAACATGTCTACATACATACAACACTGAATACCAATCCTATACATCTAGAAAGTAAAATTGGCAATGCACAGATATTTATAGCAGTATAATTTAAATGTGCACAAGACTAAAATGAATGTTGACAAAAGGAAAAGAGCTAAGGAGTTATGTCTTGATCCAGCTCCAGGCACCTCTACATTGAAGAAAGTACAGATTTTAAATTGATGAAGGAAAGATAGGGCTGGTATTGAATGTGTAGGATCCATTGTGAGCAGCAGACATTATAGAATATAACATAGCTATAATGCTGATATTAGACCATCAGATGATAGAGAGCGCAGTATGAGACACTATGGGAATTGCCCATTGCTAGATATATAGGTTGGTGTCAACTACATTAGCATGTCATTTGTGATTTCTATTTTTCCCCAGAGGCAAAGCAGCCATTAGTTGTTGGCGTCTTTTCGAAACAGAAAGCACACTATGGGCTTTACTTGGCTGCAATAACTTGGCTTTCTGCTTGTGTAAAGACACATTGACTCTTAATAGTTTTCGTGTGCCGTCACCTGAGAATGGCTCATGAAAACGACTGGCAAATGAACCAGAATGTGTCCTCACAAACAATTAACCTCATACGTCTGAGTCCAATGGCAGATAGTCTGCTGAGAATGATGAAAAACACTCACCCTCTGGGCTTTGTAAGGTTAGATGAGTTTTATGACTAAATTTTGTGCTCGTAGCTTATTAGTTTTGAGTGACTACCCTGTCTGGTACTTTACAATGGCCGCCTCGCTGCACTGTTCCTCTATCTACACGCAGATAAGCGTGGGTTCAACATTTGTGACAGAACTAGGTCACTGTATCACCACCAGTAAGTAGGTGGGAATGATGTAAACTTTGAATAACTAGACTAAAGGTAATCTTTGAACTTGAATGTCCTAATTTTTTATTTTGTACGTGTGACAATATCTGTATTGGGGGTTGTAGTCGCGTCATCCGTTTTTAGTGGCACTTTTTGCTACAAGAAAGGCGTTTGGGTTTAATCCTCACGATGGGCTGACTGGTGCCACTTTGGGTGAAGTTTGCATGTCTCCTCCAGGTCATGCAAAAGACATGCATGCTGGGTATCGTATACTGCTCTTGCATTGCCCTTGACGGGCCGAGCGGTGGCTGACCTCTGCTGCAGAATAGTTCAGAGAGGACAGTTTTTCCCACAGGGATTAATGAAGTATAACTGAAATAATACTAGTTGCGTACAGCCATTTAACATACTGTATAACTCACTAGCATGCACGCAGCATAGAGAGGTATGTACCATTGGCACGGACGATGACTTTGGGGCTTCGTTTGTAAGTTGAATAGCGAGCCAGTTGTGAAAACATCAGTGCATTCCTGTATACCATTGCATTACATAACAATTCCAGACACATCAGGGACTGTTGAGTGACGCCTTGTTGTAGATCCTGTTGTGTTTTCTCTGTGTTGTTAGTCTAATAGTAGCATCTACTGTTGTGCCTTTTCAGTTGTCTTTGCGATTATCTTAACTATGTCTGCAGGTCAGTGGTTCACACTTTTTTCTTGCAAAGCTAAGGCAAAATAAAGGGAAAAGTGTAGTCTGTCTGTGTGTATCTGTGTGTAAGGTGGGCAATCTAGAGATCCTCTATCATGGATAAAATAACCAACGAGGAATGTATGTCTGTTTTTGGCTAATTCAGTGAATTAAATCCATGACAAATTGACGTTTTCATTAAAGCTACTTACTGATCCTACTCATCAGTTGGCAACATTGTCTACAGTGGCCCCATACACCTACAGATATGAATAGGATACTGTAAATACCATGGTATAATATTGTCTCACAGTATGTATTGTCACCCAACCCAGTCCAAAACATTTTCACATTCTTGCGTAATAATGGCCTATTACTTAGTGTTTGCTCTAGTACTCAGCTCATGTTAGGAAGTGTATGTAATTGCTGATAACAGGGTTTGCATCATTTGTTTTAGTCTGTGTCTAAAAAGGTTAAAAGTGAACCTACATATTCTTATGTGACACGGTGATGGTTCGGCAATTATGTCAGTCAGACAGGAGAAAAACAGTTTTCTCACGGCACGGTTGATAATTCAATGCTAAATCCCACCGAGCTGGCGGGGAAACACAGTGACGGTGTTGAAGGATGCTCGTCTTTTCTTCGACTGGTGGGAATTTACTAAACTGTCGTTAGTTATGCAGGTTACCAAATTCATTCATCAATGCATTCATTCATTTATTTTTACTCAGTTGAAAAAGTACAGAGAAATTGTATCCCCCCTCCCCAAGTTAATTACATATACCTCCTGGCTTACAATAATTAGACGACTGTCGAATGAATTTTTGAATGCTGCTCAGAGGAGTTTGAGATTCCCTTGGGACTTTCTCTGCAAATCTAAA